ATTAAACGTGTTTATGAAAGTAGTGTTTTTCCTGATTTCTTCTAAATCGGATGTCTATTTTCGTTGATATTTTGGATTAAGAGAAACTATTAACACTCTTATTAAACCCATATTTAAGATTTGATTGCAGTGTTGATGCTGCAATGCCACGCCGAAACAAAGATGAACTCAACCAGGCTAACGATAATACTAAACGGAGCTTCGCAACAAGAAGTTGCAACTGCATTTGGAATACATCAGTGGGCTTTGTAACCGTTAAACTAACGTCGGAAGACCAAGAATTGGCCGTCCGCAGGTAATCACACCCAGGCAGGACCGTCAGACCCCCCCCCCCTTCAGTACCTCGTGCGATTCAGAACTTGCTGTAAAAACTGCTGCTACAATTGCTAGATGAAATTAAAACAAGCCGATTCAGACATTGAAAAGATGATTATATATATATTTATGTCATATATAGCATTAAAAAGCTTTAAAATTAATTAACATGTAGTTAGAATTTAACAGCGTAAAATATTTGTCACATGTATCATTTCGGGGTTTTACATACCAACAGAAGTAAATAAACACTGATGCAGCAAGATTATTTAAGGTCAAACAATTATGCACAGATGGGTCCTCTGCGGGGAGTTTTGCATCTAAGCGTACATCAAGTCACTAATGATGTTCCCCGCATTTGTATTAGCCTGATAGTACACCCTTTATTTATAGAATATGACGCAGACAGGGATCCTTTCGCATATATCTTAACAAAATAATTAATCATTGAAAACGATAGAAAGTATTTTATTATAATTATTTTTTGACAATTTCAGATAACTATGAAAGTTTAATTCAGTGTTTGTATTGCCTCAAAGCCAGTCAAAAGTGATTGCCCAGACGTACTATATTCTAACTCGTAAATTTAATTTGGCGGTGAAGAAGCAGCATTTTCTGTTGCTCACTGTCGCAATAGCCGGGCATTTCTCTACGAGAAATGAGCCCGGCTAAAAATCAGCATAAAAGTGCATAAATTGTTCGCAAGAGACTGAGAGGAGATGGTATTCCTCCATGACATCCGTACATTGGAAACCCACTAGCGTTGAGACGTCGCACAATACATTTTGTTATGCCCCTTGAATTTAGGGGCGATGAAAATGACATCAACTTGACTTTTCAATTTGCAACATAAGACATGTTTGAATTTTATCACAACACACTCTAAAATCGCTTAAATAAAATAAAGTTTAAACTGAAAACTTAGATTTTTATATTATTAGGTCTTTCCACCTTTCTGTGGAAAGACCTATTGATTTTCTTCTGTTTATTATTATTATTATTCTTCTTCCGCTGATTTTTTGTTTCGACATTTATCGAAAAGACTTTTTGTTCATCGTAAAGGTCATTAAAAGTTAGGAACAAATTTGACCCAACGCGTATGAACTATGAGTGCTTTCGAAGTTATTGCCCCTTTCGCAAGAAATGCTTGTTATCGCTACTCCTTTGAAACCGTAAACCGTAGAGGTATGAAACCTTCACCAATGTCTTGGATTAATTGAGAGGACTCTGGAATCTATTCATTGCAAAAGTATTCGGTGACTCCTTCAATGAGTTATTGCCCCTGAAAATCTTAAAGCTGACAAGAAAAATTAAAAACTTTTAAAGGACAAGTGGTAAAGATATGGGATTAAGTGCATGAGATCTTATGACCTTTGACCTTGAAAATTAGGTCAAGGTCAAAGGTCAAGGTCATTGGAAAACTAGAGAAATGGTCAATTTAAGCTTACATCCAAATGACCTTGACCTTTGACCTTGAAATTGGACATTGACTTTGACCTCTGACCTTGACCCTTACTCAAAAGGTAATAAAGAAATATTCATTACCTTTATCTAGATTCAGCTTCAAGTGTTGATCTCAAATTTAACTCTCTCTCTCTCTCTCTCTCTCTTTTTTTTTTGGATGACCTTTGACCTTGATAAATGACCTTGACCTCTGACCCCATTGACCCAAAGGTCACAATCAAGCTAAAGGTCGTGGAGTTATTTACATCCATCACTCTAACAAATGCTTATAAAATAACCCCCCCCCCCTTGTAAAAAAAATAAAATAATAAAATCAACACCAACTTAGAGAAAATGTCTACAAGTCAAACGAAACGAAATATCGACATAAGATTCGTAATAAAAGGAAGAAGATACCTGAAAGAAAGTGTCCTGAGAGTTTTAAGGTGAGTCTCTAAAGTACAATGAAATTCTAGTGAATATCGGCAAAATCTGCATTTTTTTTCTGTCTGAAATTAAGTTACTGCTGAGCATAAAAATTAATTAAAGCTCGCCTTGGCTATTTCTGCAATTATTGTTAATATCATTCGATTCTCCTGCTCTAAAACGACATTTTAATACCAAGTATTCTTGCTTTCTTAGGTGTACGGAATTTATTTTAATTTTATTTAGATTTAAATATGAATCGGCTGAAACTCGGAAATAGCGATTTTTCATATAAAATAAATTTGCACGCTCTCCGTGACACCGTCTTCATCATGAAATGCATGTTTCAACTTTAATTTATGCTCATAACTATGAATTCAATGCAAATAGAGATGATTATTTAATCTAACCTATGAGTTCGCCATTTCTGTCAAAACGAACGCGCCTATATTTTCACAAATTGTAAACACAGTGCCGACACGGAAGTTCGAATGTATCATAAGCTCTGTATGATTAACTCAATCTATTCAAACTATAAACAAGCTCGAATTTTTTTTTTTTTTGTACAGGAAATCTCTATTTTCATTATCCACCAATCGTTTTTCTCGAAACTATTCATTATTCCTCTCTATGTTCCATAACAAACAAATAAATACACGTGTTTCTGTACTATTTTCATTTAAATCCACGTGCTTTCATTTCTTCTTTTTTTCTTTACTCTTAGTTTACGGCAAATAATTTCATCGGAGCCTGTGGTGTAGTGCGTAGAGCGCTCGCCTGGCAATCTGAGGGCTGAGGGTCCACCGTTCGAATCCTGCTGGCAGCACTTATAAATTTTTTTTTTTTTTTTTTTTTTTAATTTTTATTTATTTATTTTTTTTGGGGGGGGTTTTCCTTTTTAATTCAAATGACATGAAAACTTAAAAGAAAGGTGGAAAGACCATTAATTGTTCAGTGAACAATTAGTCTACTAGTGTTAAACTACAATGTAGACCAAACATAGCCTCCGAAACTTTCGTATTGCTACGCCTTCAAAACCATTAACCGTAGAGATGCGACACCTTAAACAGTGTCTTCAACTACTTTATATACTTTGACCTTCAAGTTTAGGTCAAGGTCAAAGGTCAAGGTCATTCATTTTTAGGTCTTTCCACCTTTCTGTGGAAAGACCTATTGATTTGCTTATGTTTATTATTATTAGGTCTTTCCACCTTTCTGTGGAAAGACCTATTGATTTGCTTATGTTTATTATTATTCCTATTATTTTTCTTCCGCTGATTTTTTGTTTCGACATTTATCGAAAAAACTTTTTGTTCATCGTAAAGGTCATTAAAAGTTAGGAACAAATTTGACCCAACGCATATGAACTATGACCGCTTTCAAAGTTATTGCCCCTTTCGCAAGAAATGCTTGTTATCGCTACTCCTCCGAAACCGTAATCCATAGAAGAATGAAACCTTCACCAATGTCTTCGACTACTTGAAGGGACTCTGGAATCTATTCATTGCGAAAGCATTCGGTGACCCCTTCAATGAGTTATAGCCCCTGAAAGTTTTTGAATTTTAAAAATAATTAAATATTTTCAAAACGAGAAGTCGTAGCGACATGGGACTAACTGCATTAGATTCATTGACCTTTGATCTTAAAATTCATGTAAAGGTCAAAGGTCAAGGTCATTCAAAAATTGAGAAATTAAGCTCTTTTTATATCTTTTTTTGTCTTTTAACATATACAAACTGTCTTAGCATCATTATTATGCACTTTTAAAACTATATCAAACATTTTATTCGTATCCCTTAAAATTGACCCTATTAAAAGTTATTGCCCTTTGTGCGAAAAACCTTGTTATTGCTACTACTTCGAAACCGTAAACCGCAGAGACATAAAACCTTCACTAATGTTTTTGACTCCTTTAGAAGACTCTGGAATCTATTCATTGCGAAAATATTCGGTGACCCCTTCAATGAGTTATTGCCCCTGAAAATCTTTGAATTGTACAAATAATTAAAAATTTTCAAAATGAGAAGTCGTAAAGACATGGGACTAACTGCATAAGATTCATTAACCTTTGCTCATAAAATTCATGTAAAGGTCAAAGGTCAAGGTCATTCAAAAATTGAGAAATTAAGCTCTTTTTATATCTTTTTTGTCTTTTAACATATACTTAATGTCTTTGCATCATTAATATGTACTCTTAAACCTATTTCAATGATTTCATTCTTGTCCCTTAAGATTGACCCTATTAAAAGTTATTGCCCCTTTTGCGAAAAACCTTGTAATTGCTATTGCTCCGAAAAAGTAAATCGTAAAGACATGAAACCTTCACTTATGTCTTATGGGACTTTAGGCACAACTTTCATGTTCAAGTGAGAAAGGACCTGGTGAATCCTTGAATGAGTTACTGCCCTTTAATTCTTTTGTGCTTTCCATGAAACCTTATAACTTTAAAAATATACGTCATAGAGACCTGAGGTTAATTACAATGTGACCCTTGACCTTTGACCTTGAAAATACCTTGAAGGTCAAAGGTCAAGGTCACCTCCAAATTTTGAATTTTTTTCATTTTTTTCCTTCTTTTAAGCCATTCCTGGTTTCTTTTTTATGAAATTTAATTTTAAAGAGATAAATATTACATGAAATTGAAATTCAAAGAAGGTGGAAAGATCTCTTATTGTTCTGTGAACAATAAGTCTCCTAGTTCTGAATATGCGTTTCTTTTTTTTGTTGAGTATACATGTAATTTTATATTAAAGAACTCTTGTGTACAATTCTTCATTTTTGACTAATATGTGACTATGCGTACTTCTTATAAACAGAGCGTTGGTTCCTACATCATAAATGGCGCCAGTGGGTTAGAATTCTAGATGCAGATCAAGATGGCGTCATCAGCGCAGACGACATGGAGAAAACAAACGCTAAACTCGAACAGATACGCTTATTTATAAATTGCAAAGATTCAGCACCATCAGAAGAGGAACAAAAGAAATGGTGGAACGACCACGTGTTCAAGTGTGGTCCGGGAAAAGACATATGTCTTGAGGATTACATATGCTACTTAGAAGGGTTTGCACAACCCCACGAAAGGCCGGGCAAATTTAAGCCAATAATAACACAGTTCTTCGATTTCTTCTCAACAGAAGAATATCGGAAGAAAAATTTGATTCTAGGAGAGAGAGACTTTGTTAAGTTCTGGACTCTTCTTTTAAACATCGATGAGCGTCACTGCAGAAACATGTTTATCAAGCATGTACCTTCACCTTTAACTCTTGCCTCTTTGTTAGATGATTTTGTAGCTTTAGTGTCACACGACGATGTTTTAAATAATGACAACTATAGACTGTTAGCTGTTCTAAAACAAAAACATAATGGGTGCTGCAGCAAAGCATAAACAAATATAAATATGTTTTCCAACTTTCCTTTTCATGCAGTATTCTTTAACCATTTCAGATAATTCAAATTTGTAACATAATACTTTTAATATCTATTTGCAGGTGCTACATGTACATTATTATTTCCAAGCTTATTAGATTGTGTGGAAAAAATGTGTTGGGAGTGCTTTTTTGTGTGCTTGTGAAATAACAACATAGGTACAGAGAAGAAAGTGTTTACGGTATAAGTCTAGAAATAGGGCATGTAACTTTCTGTATACCTGAATATAAATAAATGATAAACTATTACATAATCAAATATAATTATGGAGATAACGAACAGTATTCAATATCAAAGTCTTAAAACCATACAAAGTAGGAGCAGAGCAAACACGGACCTCCAGATCAGAGGTAGGATCAGGTGCCATGGAGGAGTGAGCATCCCCTGCCGACCGGTAACACCTGCGGTGTGCTCCTTGTCATGATCGGGAAATAAAGAACGAAATTGTCGTCAATGCGGTATATAAATATAATTAATGGACTAAAATTGGTATGAAAAGCGGTAGCCAGCATTTGACGGAAAGATAAATTGTATTTGCTGACAAGACCACGGTATCGACCATAAAACTTACGAAATGATGACGTTAAATTAGACTGCTGATAGTCTTGATTCATCAATTTGTTTGTCAATAATTTACCTCGTTTTAGGAATTGTTCATACGTAAAGCATGCTCTAGCGCATCGAATCAACTGAGATATATAAACTTCGTATGCAGGTGATAAGGGTATATTGCTGCATAGGTAAAGGAAGTTGACGATGGAAAAGTTAAAGTCATCACGTTTATCATAGAGCTTGGTTGTTAGATTGCCATTAGTGTCTTTTTCAAGTAAAATATCCAGGTATGAAACAGATGTGTCGCCAAATGTTCGTCAAAAGTCATTTTGGTTTTTCAGGAAATGTTACGTTATATTCTGCACATAAAAAAAATTGTAGTTTTAGTGCTAGGTTAGATAATTGCACATGATGAAGGCCGTTTCTAAAATAAGGCTTACAACTTGAACAGTTGTAATGTAGTATTTTTTCCTCCACTTCCACCTATTTGTACATGAGTCATATTTTAATGATCGTTTAAACAATCTTGTTTAAGTTTAACATATCCAATAACCTTGTTTCTAATACTGTGAATTCATTGCATTTGGCCATGTATTCTTTTTTTGCAAATGCAAAAATATGGCAGAAAGTATTATTTGTTAATTCAAACTTTATCCAATGCTTAATGTCTTGCATATATTCTCATAAAAATTCTCTCTAAGTGAACTCTTATCCATAAGCTTAACAAGCAATTTCTGACAATTATCATACACTTTAGACATTATACATTCACAGCGCAGTTTGTCCTTTGGTTAAAGACATACAAGTATATAAAATATTTTTGATAAGTTCAGACTAATTAAGTAAAATTAAGAATTTAGGGATCAAGAGAAAAATCATATTGACAAGAAAGGTGCGTTTATTTGTAAGCTGTGTTTTTAAATCGGACTATACGTGTATAAGTATTTTGTTATTTGACCTATCCCTCTCCGTGTTTTAAGGATTGCTATAAATGCATCCGCAGTAGACAACAAAACAGGATACCAGTATCTTACGAAGGATTGCTCAATATATTAAATTTTTTAGAGCAAATACATCTGAATCAAGCCCTGGTGGTTTTCTCGTTTTCCTTTATACACCGTAGCTAGTGACTGCCCTTGAAAGCTCCATAAGTGAATTCGGTATGGAAAAGGAAGACGTGCCTCCATCGGCACCTGCATGGTATCCAGGACCAGGCACCTCTGATGTAACAGGAAGACCAACTTATGTCGATGTAGACACCATGCCAGAAATAAGTATGTGACAGGTTTCTTTCATTGTATTCGGTACATATTGAGCATATAAAGAAGGAATCCAAGGGACAGTTTCTGGAGAGGAGCAGAATGTCTGAGAAGTATTTTCTTAACTTAAATTCTTTTTATGAATGAATAATGATAATGTTAAAAAACTGCCAGTTATAATCAGAACATATGATTGACCTTATTTTAAAAAATACTTATATATAAAGGGGAGCGACCGTATAGAACGATATAATGTAGGTTTATAAACTGCAAAAGATCTAGTCTATACATTTATGTTCTCTTTCCCTTCGCTCAGCCGAACATAAATCATTTCCTGTTTTAATATGAAATAAAGCAAACACGAAATATAGGTTAAGACATAGCCATTTTTTAAAGACAAAGTTGTACACGGACTTATGCGTCCGTAGGAGGGCAACAACGGCGTCCAAATGTGTCAATGTTTGAGGATTCCTCATGGAAAACGTTTCAAAAGTCTGCTGTTAATGGATGAAATCGGTTAACATCCTGATTGAGAGAGTTAAAGTGGTAATATTCAACAAAAACTTCATTCAATATCTGAAAAATACATCTCAATATTGAAGCAAAAAATAATTTTAAAAAACTTGAAAATCTTTAGATAACTTTTGTCTAATGATTGTAATAACTAAATGCCTGCAAATTGCTGCACAAAATAGTGCCACTTAATATTACTAACATCACAAATAATTTAAATAATCATTACTTGAAAGCATTACTGGTCTAGGGTATCAAGCGCTAGTCTTCCAAGCCAAAGGAACCCGGATCAATTCCACTGTGGGACGCACATCTTTTTTCTTTCTTTTTTAGGAATGATAATTTGTAACCGGTTAACCTATACTCGGTCAAAACGACGGCAATCAGTTGGAAAATCTGCAATCAGTTAGATGGAAAAATAAAATATATATTAGTTTTAACCCAATTTTGTTAAAAAATGCATGAATTTAAAAAAAAAAACTTTGCATAAATACTTACATGTATAATTTAGCCTTTACATAAATCCACTCTGACTTGGGTGATTAGGTCATTTTGTGTTTGAGGTGTTAATTACTGTTAAAACATTAAGTCGTTCGGTACTCTGACTGTCCTTTATTTCTTTAAGAGAATTTAATCACAGTTAAGAAATGTAAATTAGTATGTTTGTTCATTTTGCAGTTATTCATTCGAATAAATTGCTAAAAAAAAACTTTGTTACTTAAGTGAAGTATTTCAGACTTAGTTTTGATTTTGGCGACAATGCAGAATGAACGTGTTTATAATCTGCATTGGAAAAAAATATCAATTATTTCTCAGATATGATTGGTTTTTTTTTGTTTTGTTTTTTTTAATAAATTTTTCAGTCAATATTGAAGCTAAAAGGGCAAATATATAGGCTTGTTTATTTTTTTAAAAGCAAGACTCAAGACAAATAATATCTAAACTTTATAAATATCCCTGTAAATATGAAAAGATCTACTTAGGAAAAAAGAGTTATGTAAAACACAAAAATACGTATTTTGAAAGATCAACTTCTTATTCGGTCGGAACGTCTTGCGGTTAACCGATTAGTAATTCTTATTCGATTCCCATCCCTACTTTAAAAAAACGAAAAGAAATATATATATTGTATACATGTACAAAAGAACTTGCATATAAGAATATGCAAAATATTCCTTTCTTTCATAACATGAATCAGGTATTCGCGGCAAAGACACTTGTTTTTGTAATAGATGTTTTAACCCATAATGATAATTTAATACTTTGGGATTATAAAATTTATTACTGAAAATAAATGCCTGTGATTCGATCCAGGTTACTTATACATGTTACTTAAGGATGCAGTTAATGTGTTTTGGTTATCAACTGGTTCCTTTCTTTTCCAAGATCCCCCTCCGTCTTATGACTCGGTATTCACTATAGCAAGTTCAAGCCATCGGAGGTCTAAAAATATAATCCCTATGAAGATGACAGAAATATGTGGGAAAAAGCTCATGATTGCTTTGAAATGTCAGGTAAGCTTTTAAATGAACTAGAGTATATACATTAGTGTACATGTACATGTACATATAGTCTTTTAAATGACAATAAAAAAAGTTGTAAGATTAATTTCTGTTTTCATTGTAAATCTCGAAATAACTTAAATTTTGAAATATGACACAATATTATCATTTAAAACACTGTGCCATTTATTATAAAATGTATGAGGTTCGTTCGAAAAGTTCACAAACTATTTCAATATTCATTTTAGAATTAGCATAACAATTTAAAAAAATATTTATTTCGTTTATGTGCAAACTTTCATTTCATATGTTTTCTTAAAAAAGAGCGCTATGCTTCATTATAATTAAAAAAAAAAAGGATTTGTCCTAACGGAGCGCACTTAACAAGATGCATTGTAGAATATCGTCAAAAGTTTACCTTCATGGAATCTTAAAAATACTCTCTCTCTCTCTCTCTCTCTCCCATGTACATGTATACTAACTCATGTAAATGAAAAAAAAATGTTTTTCCTGATGCTCAGTTTTGTCTATTTGAATATTTATCCCTGTACATGTACGAGGGGTTATCAAAAAGTTCGTGGACTGAGGCTATAAAATTAGTACTATATAGTCTGAGCTTACGAAATTTTTAAAGAACATAAAGCAACAACAAATAAACAAATATTGAAAATTTTAGCTTGATACGTTCATTATTTCCCAAATTATTACGAAATAAAAACGACATTATAGCATCACCCGGCGCCGTCGCCGTTTAGTTTTTTTACGTCCAACAACGTCATTGTTTTTCATGTCTGTTTTTTCTACCTCATTCACTTATTTTGATGAGATTCTCTGGAGCTGAGGAAGGACTTCAATCCGTCTTGTTTATATGACTATACAATGTCATGAACAGCGGCTTTCAATGCATATGATATTCCAAATGGATTAAGACAATGGAAGAGATTCTCACTTGATTCTGCCAGCATATTTTGCTTTTTGGAGTTCAAAATCTACAACACATGATCAACGTCATTTTTTGACGTGATTGGTTTTTCACACCTTGACTTCAAATCGAAATTAACTGTGCATTCCTCTTCTCTCTGAATCTATTTTAGCATTAAAAACAAGTTATATAGATGCATATTATTTCTCCGTAGCCAGTTTAAACATTTTCTAGGTGTGTACCAGTTTTTCTAGGGGCATAACTTTATAGAATGTTGAAAAAGGAAACCCCTACCCCCTTTTGACGTCATTTTCAAGGCAATATTTATTTGGATACTCCATATAATATTTACGATAATATTTCATAGAACTTCCAGAATAAGGTAAAAATTTATTATTTTATGGAACAATAGTGTCCCAACACATACATGTACCTGAATTAACGGGATATTTGGATGTCAAATGTTCATACCATAATAGTTTTTCTTAGCTACAATTACGTCGAAAAAAACGTCGTTTCGAGGTTGCGCCGCATGGACATACCATTGCTCACAAAAACATTACTAATTTATTAAAAAATAAAATTTGTAATCTGTGATTTATTCTATAGATAGAAAAGATAATGCTAACTAGTTATTTTAAAATTCATTCATGTACCTAAAGCGGTTTTAATTTTATGGCGCTAGTCCATGAACTTTTTGATAACCCCTCGTATAGTTTAAAATGATTTATTTCAGTTCTACAGCAGATTATATGGCTCATTATGTTGGCCTTTTCTATTTCCTATATTTTTTACGGTGAGTCAAAACGTTCATCTTTCAAGTCAACTTATCAAAATTTTTTTCGAGGAATCTCTTTTTCCTGTAATTTGTTTTTCCTTTTTTAGTTCTTTATATCATAACTGCATGAACTTTGCATGTGTTATTATGCAGAATAAGACTGCAAATATCAACGTACTATTTATTTTAGAGCGCATGGAACATAGAAATGGATACTAAGTTTTATGTACATGCACAACGGCAATCAAAATGGCTCAATTAAGGAGGCGTGTGGCTTTTATCAGTACTTAGCCCCACCCTTTTTTTTGCAAATATAGACATTATATAGGCATTAAAAGTTGTAGTTTACCTTTTTCTGTTGGTTTAGCCCCCCTTTCAATCCGACGTCCATGGCGTATGAAATAGAAAAAAAAAAATGAAAATTGAAAAGAAGCAGAAAAAAGGAAAGAAAAAAATTGGAATTTCAAGTTTATATAATGGTTTAATCATCTATTCATAATAAGTACATGTATGTAATGTAAGAAATAAGCAACAGTATTAAAAAGTTTTCTGCGAAATGAACTTTTAGTTGGTCTTCACAATAAATTTGATCACGTAATAACTTAAAGTTCATTTCCCAGTGAACTTTTTAAAATTGTTGTTTATTACTTATGTTTACATTTGAGACGAATAAATGTCGAGTAAAACTGCATTTATTACATAAACGGGTCGCCGTATTGCTATGTTGTGACGCTCTATGACCTAGAAGTTGTTTGGTCTGGAGAGTTGCCTCGCTCCAACATTTGAAAGTGTTAATTCATGATTAGCAGTCAAGGTCAGGAATTATCTGCATATGTGAAAGAACAATGATCGCTGCTGAAAATAATTTAACTACTTCATAAGTTCTTAAAACATTTAAAGTCGAAAGCGGTGGTATCGGTTGTTTTAGTTTACATAACTGCAAAGGAATTTTGGGTTAAAAAGGTAGGTGCGGTTTTAGGCTTAATATGGTATTCAAAATCTTATTCACCTGGAAAGAAGATTTATTGTACATCCTGTGATTGACAAATATCAATATTTCAATCATTTTATCTTTTTCATCGTTATTAACATGATTAACTTAGAAATATCCCCAAACAAGTTGCATTGTGACAGAAATATGTAGACAAAATATCACCTCGCTCTGTGATTCGGTCGCGCTATGACCTCTTACCGCCAAATAAAATTCACACAGAATTGAATATATATTCTCTTCATCTTAGAAAGATATTTGCAAATGTTAATATTAACTTATTTTTCAAATTACAAAGTTAAAGTTAAATTCTGTTTATTTGAAATTTCAATAATCCAATAGGACAAAAAAAAAAACACAAAAGGACTATATGCAGGATTTTGCATAATTTTGCACCAACAAAAGTCATATTTTCAAAATTTCTTGAAATGTGCTGTATTGTATATTGTATGGGAAATCTTAATCAACAAAACATATTATACAATGTAGTTCCAAAGCATGGTATTTACAAGAAAGAGGAAAAATGGACAAAATTTGCTCAATTTTTACTATGAAATTAATATAGAGGCCGGCCTGCTCCAGAGCAATATTTACATATTACATGTAATTAGTTTATTGATATTGATCATTCTACACACATTATCTTTTTTAGCTTGAGCAGACCTGTGCTTGGTGACTTTTACTCGAAATATCGACGTAATAAACACCTTTTTCTAAAGAAATCATTAACGTTATTTTCCTGTGGTCATATCAAACAAGTCTTCAGCTATCCTTCAGTTTTAGAACATAATTATAAATTTATCCGTCAAATTTTGATTAAGGGGGAAAATTATGCAAAATACCGCAAATTCATATAGTCCTTTCTTAATTAGATATTTTTCTTTCTTCAAAAAGGTATTAAATACAGCGGCCAGTGTTACTGGAGAAAGCTTAATAAAGATGGAGACAAGGAGGAAGAAGATCTTACAAAGTTTATACAAGCAGAGGGTGGGGTTAGTCTGTGTCACTATTTTATGGGTC